CACTGGCAGGTGTGAACGCACCCTTAGACACTTAAAAAGACTTGGATTATTTAAAAGTTGCAGGTGGTTTCTCTTCTGAATGAGTATCTTGATGGTTGATTGAACTTATTGCAAGTTTTTGGATAAAAGCATGAGCTAAATGAAAGTCAATATGGATACAAAAATAAACTATATCGCTGCCATCAGAAACAAATAGCCCTTTATTGCATGTATTACTCTTGAGACACTGGTATGGGGATCAGTGCCACACAGACAAGGATTTCCAGAAGCTAAATAAGTTCATTTTCAATCAGTATTTGTACAGAGTGAAGAAGACAGAGAGAATAGTTTACGGAGCATTAAGAGTGAAAAAAGTGGACAACCTGCTAGGGCTGTCCCGAATATTCGGTAGTAATCAGCAGTGAATATTCGGCCCATGCGCTTCAAACACGTGTATTTCGGTTTATTCACGGCATTCATTTTGTTATTCTACAGTATTGTTGTTTTATAGTATTTTTTTAACGTTATTTGTGTTCTTTGAAATTGAAAAGGATATTGCATTGTGTTACTTTCGTAGTGTAATTTGTCTTGGTTTCCTATTTTGTATGGACATGCTTTTATTTTGAAGGAGAGTTAGCGCTGTTGACAGGAAGTTGTTGTTGCTATGGAAACAACGTGACGGAGATTAACGGAGAAAAAGTCATATCTACATATAAAGACGGAGAAAGTAAACGATAACGTTTATGGTTAAGTGTTAGCACTCCCCGATTTCAATCAATTCAATTTGGCAGCCGCAGTGCAGCCAAAAAAAAACGAAAAAGAATAAAAAAACAATATCCAAATATCGAAATTGATACCAGAATAGTACTCCAACGAACGAATATTCGGATATAGCCCTACAACCTGCAAGGGCCTGAAATGTCAAAAAAGTCCCGCCAGACACCATTTACATGCACTAAACCTATATAACATGCTACAAGAGAAAACCCCAAAAGCATAATAGGGGCCCTTTACCCACTAACATGGACTTCTGTGACGGTTGTTTTTTAATATATAAACACCCAAAGCTCATTGTGGAACTCAATGCAATGCCAGAAAAAGCCAAATTAACCAGGTTTCTAACTGAGAACAACAACTGGTTTCAGGTCTGTGTTTTATTATCTCGAGCAGATCAGAGTTCAACTAGGTAATCCATTGAGTGGGCATTTTGCCAGCATGATGGCAGTATCTGGGAGTGTCAATTGCCCCGGGTTGATATGGTTTCTCTAGCAGACATATAAAAGATTACACATTTGCAGTGCAGGTGAGACGGTTTATGACCTTTGACTGCAAACATCTTCTTTGTAATTGTCTTAAGGGATTGAATGACAAAAACACTAAAGCGCTTAAATACATGTGGATTCAGGATGTTAGGCAATATTCAAAGTCTAACTAGTGTTTTACAATCCTGTTTTCAGCAGAAGAACCACGAATCGATACTTTAGCAGCCATTCAGAGAGCCACGTATCCACAACAAGGAATAAACAGACTCTTGGTATCTTCCTGAGAAATACCAACACTTCCCAGTCTCTGCATACCAGGTCAAGGGTTAACTTTACTACAAATAGGCCTGGCTGTGAAGCATTCGTGTTATGAAGTACCCACAAGCACTCACACTCACACATCCACTGACAGCAGGTGACAACTGAACAGTGAGGCCTCGCTCGGTCTGTAAGAGCTGGTGAACCATAAACAATAAGGGGGTCTGGATTCTGTTAAAGGACATCAACACACCTCTTTGTCTACATGAAAAATAACATGTGTTGAAACAGTAATAACAGCCCTATTATAAACTAGAATACCCCCCAATCTAGTCAAGTTGACGCCAACATCCATGTTTGTCCAAAATGTCATCACTTCCGCATTTTATCCCATTCGAAATTGGCTAAAATGTCATAATTAGCATTTGAAATGATTGAGTTGTATCCAGAAATATGTTTTGTGAGGCCTCAGTGATCTTGACCCTCACCATCAAAATCTTATCAGTTCATTCTTGAGTCCAAGTGGATGTTTGTGACAAATTGGAAAACATTCCTTCAAGGCATTACTGAAATATCCTGGTCACGAGAATGGGAGAGACAACCCGAAAACATGATGCCTCTGGTCACGGCTTTCATCGACGCAGAGGCATCAAAACAAAAGGCCTAGGATCATAAAGAAAAAGCCTTTGTCTACAAATCTAGATATCTCATGTTCTGGATCACTGGGAATACTCTTAGCATAAAAATACTTGTTCATTTAAGTCTCAGAAGAACAAAGGGGGATGCTTAGAAAAAAAGCGTGTTTTTTAAACCTCATATCATCAAAGATGTTGCTTGTTAAGTTGTATTAAAGGGTGACACATCAACATAAATACTGTTGGGATTAGTGAAAATTGCTCTATAATCCAATAATGATTATGTGAAGGATACTAAAATAAATGTACCCAATAGGGAACACACACACAAAGCATGAGAACCACTCGATGCCAAACTCTAGATTGAGTGTGCAGTTTTCGGGGCCTGAAATAGATCACGTCTGGTTCCAACAAAAATGTCTTCTTTATCCAAAGATAAGAAATAAATGATGTCATCTGTGGCTCATTCTCCAGAGTCACCGCTCTGCTGTGTTCCCACAGACACACAGAAACACACATGTCATTTCCTTCCTTTGTGGACTTTGCTCAAAAGGAGCTTCTAACAAGAGGTATGGCTGGATGCCAAACACAATGGCCCTGCCTCACCTAAAGGCCCTGACACACCGAGCCGATTTCGGCCGTCGATAGATGTCTGGCCGTCGATGAGCGTCCTGTCGCCCTACTCAGATTGGTGTGTCCAGCACCGTTGTGTCTTTTCGGCTGTCGGCAAAATAAATCACTCCGATTGGCTGTTCAGCTTAGCGAATCAGTGCATGAGAAGCGAAACGGAAGTGAAGAAGGCACACACGGACGGCTATTATTTTTCATTTTCCAGTACCGCACTAAACATGTTTTTGATAAGTCGTTATGTGAAACCGTCTGTGATGGACGAGAGTGAAAATGGAACGCACGCTATTTGTTGTTTGTATCTATCACGCCGTCTGTCTGCCGATTGCCTCTTTTGAATGACGAATACACACTACCGCCGCCTGCTGGTAAGGAGACTTATTGCCACTCACGCATGCGCAGTGCGTACGCCGTCGGCTGAAGTCTTTGCGGTGTGTTCCAGTGCGACTTTTTGGCCAAGACGCAGGAGACGTGAGGCGACACAACAATCGTGTTCTTTGGTGTCAGCTTGGTGTGTCAGGGCCGAAGAGACTATTAAAGCAGCTAGATAGACAAACCTTAATAGAGAGTGGCCTGCAATAAAGACAGTATGTAGGCTGGTTATGTAAAGTAGTTTCTGATACTATGGGTTGCACGCTTTCCTGTTGGTAGATAACCCTCAGTACTAATGTCTCCTGCAAATCTTTCCACTTGGAGGATGGAAAAACAATCAGAAATAGGACATTTTCATATATTTAATAAGTCTGTGCCATTTAATTTGACACAAGAGACACTGAACCCCTAGGCTAAAGGGATCTGGGTAGACGGTCTTCCTGCAAGCTTATACTGCACGGGTGGCTCTACAATAAGCAAGATATATACGACACACAGCCTTTAACGATAATAACTTTCCCTTCAGCCTTACACAGTCTTAGGTTAACTCTAATAATTCACACTTCTCCATGTCAGACTTGGACAGCAAAGAGCCGCCTGTGAAACAACACATCCTGCCAGTCTTTATGACTCACACACACCACAATGTGTTTGGATTTGCTGCAGCACTACCTCACTTTTCTCACTTCAATCAGTGGGGAAGGCAATAAGATAACATCATAGGGTTTGAGAGGGAGGGAGGGGGGTCTTGTTAACAGTGTGCATGGTTAGTCATATTTAGTAGTGTTACTTTAGAACCACGTGCTTGTCATCTCCTCTCTTTCCAACCTATCTGTGCCATCTATAACAAAAGGTACAAATACCATCTATAAGAAAACACGAGTTCAGTAATAGCAGGGTGATAAGTCTCCCAAATCACAGCATGCCCCAGCCTTTGAAAGCATGCTAGCTCAAGTAATAAGCATACAGTACCAGTGGTTTAAAGTTAACCCAAGTACTACTGAACTTAAGTACAATTGTGAGGGACCTTTTTGCTACTTTCTACCCCACTATTATTCAGAGGTAATTCATGGACTTTGACTCCACCATATTTACAAAATATCTTAAGTTACGTAGCAGATTTGGATTAATGATGTGAAACATTTTTTAAAAACTAAAAAGAAACACCTTAGTACACCTGGAGTGAATTAACAAGCTACCCTGCACTATACAAAGTCATTAAAACTAGCTGCACCTTTACCAGCTTTGAGAACACTTTAATGATCAATCATTATAAAACATATCATATATATATTCATCTGAAATGGGTCAATGTGCATAATGAGTACTTTCACCTTCGGTACTTTAAGTATCTTTGTGTACTTTTACTTGAGTCAGATTTTGAATGCAGGACTTTTACTGTAACAAAGTATTCCTACATTTGGTACTTCTACTTTTTACTCAAGTACAAGATCTAAGTACCATCTCTCCTTGACACCTAGATAGCATTAGGAGAAAGGACACATATTTCCTATAGAGGTGTTATTGCCTGGCTTGGCTGTCTGCAGTGTCTGTTATCGCAGAGGTGGGTGTGGGATCAGCTAACGTTGTTTAGCTACTTTAAATCTGACAGGTGAGTGCAGACAGTGCCAATAATTAAAAACATGATGAAGCGGCCATTCTTACAATGACTTAAAACACTTCAATGTGAGTAGCAGTTAAACCCTTAATGTCCACAACTCCACATTGCTGTGTTATTGCACCAAGCCTCGTCTGCTTATCACAAACGCTGCTCAACAACAACCACCTCACAGTTAGCTCGGCTAAGCTAACACATGCTAACACATGCTAAAAACAAGACAGCGTCGCCCCGGGTCTGTGAACTCACCTATTTGAGAAGACTTGAAACCGGATTGTGTTCTGTTCACAATGAGATATCCATTATCCCGGGGGAATGGTCGCGTGTGTGTTGTTTTGTTTCCTGTAGCTGTGAGATTGAAGTTTATTTCGCGGAGTAAAATGGCTGCGACTGGGTCTAGGCTCGGACGCGGAGTGACGTAATGACGAAGCCTTGGGGGTGAGTGGCGGAGGGATCTGTCTGTTTACCGGTCACTCAGCATTTATCGTCCTACCATCAGCATGACTCGGTTTTTTTCAAACTAAACTACATCACAACAACACTCATACGTTGAACACTCATAAAGAATATCCTATGTCTGTTTCCCCCCCTCACATATGATGAGTAGTGTTATGTAATGGTTGCTGTGTGAATCTGGTAGATATTCGAGGTGACACAAATCACAAATGCTCATTCTCACAACACAATACTGTCAAACCAATGCAGGAAATTCCTTTTAGATTTCATGATGTAGTCCCAGGACTTCCTTGTATGTATGACCACCCAATAATACAACTAATCATGTCTTTTTTCTTGAATGAATGTGGTTTTCAGAAACTGAGCAACATAGAAACACCATGCCCAGCTAATGGGTGATTTTCATTTCCCACATTTTTTTGACTTTTTGCAAATCATAAAGTGGAGTTTCTAAAAGGGTCAAAGTACAATAAAGGGGTTATAAAACAGTGTTGTTCTAGAAAGATTTATTTATTTAAACAAAAAGGTAAACAAAACAATTATAAATTATTTGATTCTTGCCAAGTTATTTAAGAACATGTCCCATTTTCAGAGTAGTTTACAAAATACAATAGAAAAAACATTGCAGTATATCAGTTCATTCTGTACATAAATATAATACTTTTTGATGACAGACTCATTCTGTACGGTGTGAATTCAGTCTGCATGATCATGCCATTATCATCAAAATGTACATGAAAACTAATCCTCCTGATACCAGGAACATTATAATTACATAAGTCAGATGCTTTGAAGAAGAAGAAAGCCCATTTGATTAATCCCTCTTGAAGCAATTCAATTTCCACACCCATCATGTCTGCTTGCCCTTCTGCACAGGAGCAGGGACATCAGCATCATTATGCAGAAACTCAAACAGCTGCTTAGCATTTTTAGCATTCTCCAGTATTTCTGCCAACCTTTCCTGGCTGAGTTTGGCTAAATCTGCCAGGCTGTCTGCGTTTTTCACAAGAGCCCTGTAGTTTTTCATATTAACCCCAGGCATTTTCAACAGGAAGTCATACGGCCCGGGGTTGTAGAGGTCAGCTGATTCGGCCACCATGTCTGACTCGGCTGTGACGGCCTGAGCCGCGGCACCATCCGGCTCCAGGCGACCTTTCTTCAGATCCTCGAAGAGCTCGGCAGTGGCGTGGGGGGACGGGCACCAGAGAATACGGAGCCGAGGGAAATGCAAAGTGAGTAAGGTGAGTTTGGAAGAAATGTCATTGGCCGATATCTCATGACGGAAATCAGAGCGTGCCATCAAGGAAAAGGGTTTTGCTGGGTCAAACTCAATGAGCAGCACTGGTCTTTTGTAGTATCGAGTCATGGAGAGACACTGAGTGTAGAGGCGGCCGCTCTGCAGGGAGCCAATCAGATCACTGACGCTCTTCCGCTCGACGCACGTGTCCGGGGTCAGGATGTAGTCGCCCACTTCCAGGGTGACGGGCTCGATGTCCAGCCCGCGGCGGTGCAGCAACGAGGGCAGCTCACTGCGAAACTCACGCATGTCTACGATGACTCGGGACGGCTCTTTGGGCTGCTCCTGACCTCCTGATTAGTGGACAGGAAATGGGAAAACAAAAAACACTTATTTAAGAAATCGTGGGGACTTTTATAAGGTAAGACAAAATAAACTGTCCAGGGGAACCAATGGATGTTTGAAAATGACAAAAAATAGAGGAAGGAGGTGAAGGTAGTGTTTTTTTGTTGGATTTTATGCCTCTGATAAAATAATAATGCATAATGCAATAATAATGCATGAAAACTTTAAAGAACAATTATTTATATATAAAAAATAATGTGGGAAAAAACAAGTATCCTAAATATATAAAATAAATCCACGGAACAATAAATAAAAAGGAATCTGACTCTTTTAACAGAAATGTCCTTGCAGGTCTTTTTCTTAGTAGATAAAAGCCTACTTTTACTGGCATCAGAATATTTATCTTCAATACCAATTATTTTTGATTTAACGTTATAATATATCTTTAAGTACAGAAAATCATTAAAAAGTTCCATTCCAGTGTCCGTATTTCTCTCTGGAATCTGCCATTTTTGCAAGAAGAATAACTCTAACAATTAATCACTCATCAAAATTAGGGATTTTAGGAATTATGACGTCATCCCGATAAACCCGATACCAGTATTAATAGCCCCGATAATATACAATATATTTTTTGGGTAAAAAAAAGAAAAAAATACTGCGGTGTGGGTGGATTGGGATGAGGGGCGCTTGTTTTTCACTCGGCTCCTCCCGTTTTGCCAGTACTGTGGTATTAGTGGTTTAGGAAGAGGGGAGTTCTTCACAAATCCAGCGCTCCCTAACTCATGCCTGGCTGTGACGTAAATGGTGTGCGGCCGTGAAGCCAGGACAGTAAACAAACATGTCGTCGGTGGTATAGGCGTTGGAGCTATGTGCAACTCAAGGCATATTACATTACATTACATTACATTGCATTGCATTTAGCTGACGCTTTTATCCAAAGCGACTTACAATAAGTGCGTTCGACCAACAAAATACAAACTTGAAGAAAACAGAATCATATAAGTACATCAGGCTTCATAGAGCAAAAACATTTCAAGTGCTACTCAACTGGCTTTAGATAAGCCAGCCCTTTATTAGTATATAAGTGCTTTGTTAATAGTTCTATCGCTCTAAGTGGAGTCGAAAGAGATCAGTTTTCATATGCTCGAACCGGAGCTGCCTGGACGCTGCAATAATGTTGCGCACTATCCGTGCTGAGTGTGCTTACTTTTCGTACAATGTCCCACTGTCTGGCTTCCTGCATAAAGTCAACTGCTTGGCGCAGTTGTGGCGAAATGTCGCTCCTCTGTTTTCATTTAAACAGCTCCTTATATCCGTTAGCGCAGCTAGCTAGCACCAGATGCTAACAACAACAATGCACGTAAGGTCTCTCTCTCTCGCTCGCTCGGGGCCACACATACACACACCCTCCCGGTCCTCCAGATGGCCAGTCGGTGCCTGCCGGTGAGCGTGGAAGTGTGGTCTGCCACAAGCGGGCGGCAGGAGCGGGGCTGTCAGCATCAGCTTGTAGATGGTATTTTAAACTCGATGCGCTCTGAAACTACGGGGCGGTCAAGGAAAAAAAATACACATGCGTTAATCGCGTTAAAATAATTAGTGGCGTAAACATTTTTTTATTATCGGTTATCGGTCTTGAGAAGCAGGAAGTTATCGGTATCGGTTTCAAAAAACCAATATCGTGCATCCCTAATCAAAATAGTTGAAATAGCGACTAGTCGTTTCAGTTCTATAGACATGCCTGCTTTGCGGGTGTTGGTGGTGGCGTTTGCAGGCCCTAAATTCCTTGCCAGGTCCAGGTTAGTGTCTTCCCGCCCCTCCCTCTCCTCTGGGATCACCATGGTAGCTTTTTCCCTGCGGAGAAACACACACAATCACCAAAGAGAAACCAACACAACAAAACATCACCAGACAGAGAGAAGCGTGTTTCTGACCTGATGAGGTGTTCGAAGGCTTTCTTTTCCCTGGACAGCGCCGTCAGGTACTTCTGTTCCTCCGTGGAGCCTCCATAGATGAGGAAATACACCCTCAGTGTTTTCCCGGGCCGGCTAGCTTTGTAGATCTCCAGCTGGCGAACGAAACTGATCTCAGCGTCGTACAGCACCACGAAGCTGGGCTCCACCTCGTGAAGCACCCTGGTGAGGCTGTGGGGGTCAGTGAGGCCCTTCAGAGGGTGGATGACAGTCAGCGGCTCCTTCAGAACTCCATAATAAGCATCTGATGACAAATCCAGCTTCATCTGTTCCTCCTCCTCATCCTCGTCTCCACTGCTGCCCATCATGGCCGCCTCCTCCGCCCCGTCCTTAACCACCATCTGGGTCAGAGTCAGCGAGGGTCTTTTTTTACTCTTTGTGGGTTTTTTCTGCACCGGCTCTTTTCCCTTGTCTCCTTTTTTCGACCAGCTGTTGCCCTTTTTGTGGCAATCGAGATCGAGGGCGGCGGCTGCAGCGGCGTCACTTTTGCCGACAGTGCGGGCGTAGAGGCGGTGGAGCAGCGAGTCGGAGCCGAGACGGATGTACTGCTGCAGCTGGGCACAGGTCCGGTCATCACTGGCACAGATCAGAACCCGACCTGGGGACACGTTAGAAATGTTCCCTTTTCAGAGTAATTTACAAAATACAATAGAAAAAATACTGCAGTATCTAAAGGTCCCGTAACAACTGTTTTTCATCAATATATCACAGGTCTCAGATATATACAGAACCTGTCTCTGATTGGCTGAAACACCAAACAGATCATTGCAGCATTACCCATAATCCCTTCTGTTTCAGCCCTGTTTCCAAAGTGCTGATTCTCTGTCTGTTACTTTAGATGAAAATAAGGAGCCCCTCCCCACGCCCCTCTGAGAGACATTTGGTTACAAAGAACACAATGGAGCTCTAGGAGGAGAGTCAGGTGATAAGGGGGGGCGGGGTTACCTTGGTTGCTGATTGGCTAATGGTTACACAAGCCAAAAAAACTTTATGACATCACAAAGTGGCCAAAATCTGATCAGCTCATTTTCAGACAGGTTTTTATAGAAATGGATCAAAAAGAGAGAGAATCTTTGTTCCTGAAACTTTCAGAGTCTCTTTCCACAGAGGGGACACATGTTGATGTAGAAGAGACATGAAGAAGAGGGGACACATGTTGATGTAGAAGAGACATGAGGAAGAGGGGACACATGTTGATGTAGAAGAGACATGAAGAAGAGGGGACACATGTTGATGTAGAAGAGACATGAAGAAGAGGGGACACAAGTTGATGTAGAAGAGACATGAAGAAGAGGGGAAACATGTTTGATGTAGAAGAGACATGAAGAAGAGGGGACACATGTTGATGTAGAAGAGACATGAAGAAGAGGAGACACATGTTGATGTAGAAGAGACATGAAGAAGAGGGGACACATGTTGATGTAGAAGAGACATGAAGAAGAGGGGACACATGTTGATGAAGAAGAGACATGAAGAAGAGGGGACACATGTTGATGTAGAGACATGAAGAAGAGGGACACAAGTTGATGTAGAAGAGACATGAGAAGAGGGGACACAATGTTGATGTAGAAGAGACATGAAGAAGAGGGGACACATGTTGATGTAGAAGAGACATGAAGAAGGGGGGGACACATGTTGATGTAGAAGAGACATGAAGAAGAGGAGACACATGTTGATGTAGAAGAGACATGAAAGAAGAGGGGACACATGTTGATGTAGAAGAGACATGAAGAAGAGGGGACACATGTTGATGTAGAAGAGACATGAAGAAGAGGGGACACATGTTGATGTAGAAGAGACATGAAGAAGAGGGGACACATGTTGATGTAGAAGAGACATGAAGAAGAGGGGACACATGTTGATGTAGAAGAGACATGAAGAAGAGGGGACACATGTTGATGTAGAAGAGACATGAAGAAGAGGGGACACATGTTGATGTAGAAGAGACATGAAGAAGAGGGGACACATGTTGATGTAGAAGAGACATGAAGAAGAGGGGACACATGTTGATGTAGAAGAGACATGAAGAAGAGGGGACACATGTTGATGAAGAAGAGACATGAAGAAGAGGGGACACATGTTGATGTAGAAGAGAGGACACATGTTGATGTAGAAGAGACATGAAGAAGAGGGGACACATGTTGATGTAGAAGAGACATGAAGAAGAGGGGAAACATGTTGATGTAGAAGAGACATGAAGAAGAGGGGACACATGTTGATGTAGAAGAGACATGGAGAAGAGGGGACACATGTTGATGTAGAAGAGACATGAAGAAGTGGATTTTGCACAATATGGGACCTTTAAGTTAATTCTGTACAATAATATAGTACCTTTCACTTTTTGATGACAGAGACTCTTTCTTAACGGTGTGAATTCAGTCTGCAACATTCTACATTGTGCCATTATCTTCCAAATGTACACGAACACACCAGGGTCAGATGAGTGTGTGTTTCCTTATGTTAAAGAGGCCCTATTTTGTTCATTTTGTGTCTCTACCGTGAAATGTTTACATGCTTTAATGTTAAAGGTTCTTTATTTTTATCATACTGCCTGTGCTGCAGTGATGTCACTATGTTCAGGAAGTAAACAAAGGAGTCCAATGGGTCCTCGGTAGAAGAACTCTCTCTGGAGGGAAGTTTGGGACTTTAGCCTTTGCAGACCATTTACATGCACTAAAACCTTTATAACACACTACAGGAAAGGGAAAACTCCAAAAAGCACAACAGGGCCTCGCTTAAACCGCGCTGTAGTGGAAATGCGCCATAAGACTGTCCTCTTTTGTCGTTTAATCAACAAAGATTTCTATAGTTATTTAGTCATTTTAATTCTTTTTTTAATGCTGTCCAACCCTTTTCTGACAAATGTATAAACTCATCTCTAGGAAACTCAACACATAAAGAGGTACATTTGCACGATTCTTTGTAGAGATCTGATAAATCGACTAATCAATTAGTTGCCCAAATGTTATTAGTGCGAGAGGACTAAGAGTTTCTTATGTCAAGGACAGAAACTAATCGGCTCAAATTCAATTGTTAAACCATCCCTTTTAGCCGACTGTTTCCTCTGCAAATACATTTAAACCTCGGATGTTCAGGGCCCAGGAGTTCAAAACTTTTAATCTCAATCAGATCCGATCAGATTTTGAAATCCCATTTTTTGTGATCCAGGATCAGACAAGTCGGCCAGATTTTGTCCCTGGAGTTCAAAGCAATTCAGGATAGGATCAGCCTGATCCAGATTACGATTTTTCAAGATGACTAGATCATGAATATCAGTGCTTTAATCCTACCGAGCGCCATCTAGTGGACATGAAAAATAATACAAGGAAGACAAGAGACCACATTGCAGAGACATCTATTGTCCGCAATTACGTTTGAAAGGTTTTTTTTGTTGAAGATATTTTTTCTTTAATCTAAATTACATTTGTGATTGACAATCTTTGTTGTGATACTTTCATGAGCATAAACATGTATGTCAACATTTGGTTGAAAACAAAATAGGCCACCACAAACGTGACCAAATTTGCCATGAAGGCTAAAAATGGTGTATTATTTCAGTTAACAAACTTTGCCATCTTATTTAAATTGAAACATATTTTTAAATAAATGGTACAGTACATTTTGCTCTGGTAATCCACTGGAAATCCACCCCTCTGGTGGGATCAGGATAATCCAGTTTTTTGGGATCAAACTGATCCCAATCCTGTGCTGTCGGTTTGAACTACCCGTTTTGAGGATTTGATCCAGATTAAAGCTTGGATTGGATTTCCTGATCTGATCGGATATCAAAGTGATCCTAATCCTGTTTTTTGGTTTTGAACTCCCCAAAAGATAAATCTGATTTGATCAGATAGGGATTAAAAGTTTTGAACTCCTGGGCCCTGGTGTTAGAGCTAAATCCAAATCCTTATCTCTACTCCTTACTCTTTCCATGTACCCGCAAATAAACTGCAGAAAAAGGTACAAGTAGTCCTGATCTTAGATAACTGGCTTACTGACACACTCAAATTGAATGCAACCATTGGTTATTAGTAAAGGTATTTAGTTATAAACATGGGCTTCTCCTGCTTCAGGGTATATGCAGGAATCCTGAAGTCAAATGTAATCCCTTTTAAGACCTTTTTTAAGACCCTTTCCATACATTTTAAGACCTCATCGCCACTTGGAGTTCTAACCGGTTACCTTGGCGACACACTTTACCTCACATTTACTATATACAGTATTGATTGTCCTTCCTCCTTCTCTTCCAACCATTTGGACGCAGACTTATTTCCCCATAACGATGTTGTTTAACAACCGGCGTAAACGGAGCTTCGCGCTATCAAGCAGTGAGCGTGCGATGTCCTGTTCAGATGACGTCAAACCCAACGGGATGCCATCAATAAACTACACAGAATCACACTACACACCTACGCCATGATTACATTCAGGCAGACTGTAGAACACAACCTCTTTGGACCATTTATATACTTATTGAAAACAAGCTACAAAATGTAACACCTTGGAAAATGCGTTTAATACTTTTAATAGCCTTAATTTTCGCTAAATTGATTTATCAACTTTTAATACTTTTTAAGACCCTGCAGACACCCTGTGCTTTGAAACAAAAGAAACGTATACTGGGAGAAAGCCCTGTTCTATAGTCGTATTTTCAGCAGATTCAGGGGACTAGTTTGCTTTTACTGCATGTGTAGCGTGTATAGGACGAACCAGTGAACCATGACGAAGCAGCATACCCTGAAGAGGATGACTTTGAAATGTCAGCGCTGTGTATATTGGCCTTTCTGCTGGATGTACATTTAAAATAGAATTGTAGATTTCCTTCTCTTATATGCGTTTCCTATGTAGATTCATTTAAATTATTACCAAAAACGCCTTTGGGAAACTTAAACATGGCTTCTATGAAATTCTGTAAAAGTAGTACATTATATGCAAATCTAAATGATAGAAAATGAGGGGCAGTGTTGACATAATGGACCTGTATACGACTCTGACCTGGTTCATGTTCAGAGATCTTGTTCTCCTTCTCGATCTCCTGCAGTACTTCGGTCAGAGCCTCCCACTTCGGGCTCTTCTCCAGCACCAGCTGCCGTTTCACCTCTGAAACACACACATAATGTGAGTCGTTAGCAATCTAATATGAATACACATGCAAGCAGAAAAGGATGCAGATGTCAGGTACCTGAGGATGGCTTCGGTTTCTCTGCCTCCACTCCCAGTTTGACTTTCTTCTTGCTCTCTGGGAAGCGGTACACTCTTCCCCTGGTGTTCATAAACATGGAGGTACTGGAGTCGAGGAATAACCACCCTGATGGTAGCATAAACAAACAAAACTTAGATAAAGGTGCAGAATCAGAATCAGAACCAGAATCAGAACCAGAACCAGAACCAGAATCCCAGTATTAGTCCCACAGAGGGGAAATGTACATTGTTACAGCAGAAAAGAGCCAAAGACATGCATACAAATCTCCTAACCCTTATGTTGTGTTCGGGTCTCCCGTGACCCGTTTCAAGTTAAAACTATATATTAACTACGCTCTAGTTTTTTGTATCGGAACAAGGCTTCATGATATCCTCCACAACAGATATATAAACACTACAGAACTGATTTGGACCATTTGTGCCAAATCTGAAGGTCTCTAAAAAAAAAAGGTATAATTTGGTGCTGGGGTCTGGGGAGACCCAGCAGAATTGTTTTGGGTGACTCAAGGTCAAATTTGGCCCAATCAAGATTCATCTCTGACTTTAGACACCCCTCCCCCGCCCCCTTCATCCACTGTAACAATCATTGTTGCAACATGCACCTGGTCTCCCCTCCCTCTGCCCCCCCCCCCCACGGGAACTCCACCTTTCTCAAAGAATATGTGCACTAACACTTGAACCTGAACACACACATGCACGTGTGCAATATGTGGTGTAATGTGTTTTGGGCCATAACATTAAACAGGATTGTTCGGTTATGAATGCATTATAAGTTAGTTATGATGTAGTTAAAACAATATTGGATGATAAATCATGAGTCAAAATGTACCGGCGAACACCATGAACGGTAACAGCATTCGAACACAACACAAGGGTTAATCACAAATATTAGGTTCAATATTCACCCACAGTATTTCAAAGTAAGATGTAGTTTACCTGAGTTGGATCCAAAGTTCTTCTGACTGGAGCGCAGAGACTCGAGTAGATTGAGGAAGGTGACGCAGTCGTACTGGGTGAGGTAGAGCAGCAGCACCCTCAGCACCTTCAGGTCCTGGACCAGAGCCTTGGTCTTTGACCCCAGCTGGTGCCACAGGGGGTCCAGGTAGTGACGAATCGTCTGGATAAGAGTAAGCCAAACACAACCAAACCTCAAATACAGGAAACTCAGCTTTCCAAATTAGACACATAATCAGATAAAACACCTGTCATAAGAATGCCATGTTTGCTGTGTCTTTAAAGGTCACCTATCATGCAAAATGCATTTGTGATGGCTTTTATAAATATGTGTCCTTGGTGTGTCAGGGAACTAACAAAGTGTCAGAAAACCAAGCCCTCTCTCTTTTCCTCCGTACCCAATGAGAGACAATGCGTGACGTGTTTTGGGCGTAATATGGTCTTTGTTTACATTAGCAAGCATCGCTAACACTCAGAGCTAAGCTGTACTGGAGAGAGTATGTTTAAAAAAGCCTGTTTAGTTTTCTTGTTTTAGGTTACATTTGGCGTTCTAAATAAACAACAAGCAGACTTTTCATTTCAACATCCAACTCCATTTAAATACCTTTTCGAAGGCGTTTCCCAGCGTGTTCTCCAGGGAGAGGTCCTCGGCCTCCAGGCTGGGGTTGTAGCGCTTCAGCTCCTTCAGGCAGGCGCTCATGATGTCCAGGATGGAGCTCTGGATGGCCCTCATGGCCGGAGTCAGCGACACGTTGAGCTCCACCACCTCCGGCTTGTGTCTGTCCAGCGCTGTGTTCACTGACGCTTGAAACCTGTTGAATACAGCAGGTTACAGATTATTATATACTGTGATATCTGGTTTCAACAGTTACTTTATTAATTTTTTTTGTGATCACATTTTTATTGAGATGAATACACAACATGTACAACCAAAAGCACACATTTTCTTTTTAAAAAAACATAATAAAAATTAAAATTAGACAACAGACTACTTACAAAATGCAGAATACATACTGTATGTACGCTAAAAATAATAACAATAATACAGAAATCAAATTAAAACAAACCCAACCCTCCCTCCCAGACATTGAATACACACAGACACACTTTATCACTTTATTTAAAAAAACATTTTGTATTATTAATTTAATTTATTGATTCTATTTTGTCTTTATTTGTACCTTCCTGTTTTTAACTCTGACCCTGTTGCTGCTATAAACGCCTGAATTTCCCCAATGGGATAAATGAAGTTCCATCTTATCTTATCTTATATGTGCTTTTGAAATAGGTCTCATACCTGGGCCAAAGGTAGAGCTTCTTGACGAAGAGGTTCCTCATCACACGCTCCACCTGGCAGAATCCGGAGGAGAAGGACGTGGCCTTGTCAGTGAACGCTTTAATGAAGCCCGTCTTGTTCTTCTGTCTGAACAAACGAAGGATGAAGGCCTCCTGACACGACTCGATGATTGTATGAGCACGATACACCAGGATGCCTGAGGGCGAGATTCAGAGAGAGTGTGTGCATGTTAGTCTGGGTTTCTGTTGGCTATGAGACCACAGGATTCAAGGGTTTAATTATCATGTGCACAGTAGCTACAGTGTAGTTATAGCGAGGCCAAAACCATATAAAACCCTTAAAATGTAATGCAGTGTAACACCCATCAATAAATACGGCATCATTTCAAATGTTTAGTAGTCTATATATGGGACATTCACCTTTATACTTAACATTTAAAGTGCCTTTACACAATTACGTAGATGTACAGGGACAAAGCGGGAATGTTAGGAGAAGAAAGGCATAATTTCCCCCAAAAATCTTGAAAATCAACACCAAAAAAACAGCAAATTCATGAAACAAATATATATTTTTTAATCAATTACTAATTCTACAATAAAGCCATACAAAATATATAATTAAACACAGGTCAAAGAGATAGTAATAACCACCATTATGGTCTAGAATGCAAATAAATGACAATAATTGTTCCATGTTTAGAAAAATAACTAATATGGCTCCCTGTTCAATCCCGTATCAACTTCAAAAACCTACTGCTCACTTACAAAGCCCTTCATAACCTGCCCCCCCCCCCCCTCCCTATCTGGCTGACCTTCTTCAGGAGTACACCCCCTCTGCTGGTCTGCTAACCGTCCCCACCCCACGCCTCGTCACCATGGGTGCTCGGGCTTTTAGCTGCACTGGTCCCAGACTCTGGAACTCCCTCCCCCCGCACATCCGACAGTCAGACACAATCACCATATTCAAATCCCAATTAAAAACCCACCTGTTCAAATCTGCCTACTCACTGTAGTGCTCCCCATTATATGTTTCATTTGTGTCCACTTGATTGTCTCCTCCATGATTTCCTGTTTGTGTTTGTATCGTGTTCTGTTGCCTATTAGCTGGGTTTTTTAAAACAAATTGTACGGTGTCCTTGGGTGTCATGAAAGGCGCCTAAAATAAAATGTATTATTATTAATATGTTCAGAAATAACTAATATTATTTACATGTATATAGACTTTTTGCGCTATTTTTAATTTTGTATTTTGTATTTTATTATAAATGTTGCATTGTTGGAGGAGCTCAGGTCAGAAGAATTGCATTGCCATTTCTACACTGTAGCTTTGTGCATATGACAATAAAAACTTTGAATCTTTGATCAATAACATCACACTATGTAACAAACAATCCTTGTATCCGTGATCTGACCTGAGATCAGATGAGCGGGGACGCGGTCGGTGAGGAAGTCGACCACCAGGATCCTGCTGGTGACGAACAGCACCCCCCCCTCTGTGTACACGTTGTATCTCTCAGCGCTCTGCACGTCGCTGGTCACCGTCCTCGGCAGGTGGGTCACACCCTCCGCTCGCAGCTGCTCTGTGAAATACTCCTGAGAGAGAGAGAGTATTTTGGTAAACATCTTTAAAGTATCTTTACATGGAGGAGCTCGGGTCAGAAGCATTTCATTGCCATTTCTGCACTGTAGCTTATGTGCATATGACAATAAAACCTTTGGATTTGAATTTGAATGTTATTTGCAGCAAGAAGTAACATCTGTACCCAGGAGTCATATTATAAGACTGTTATACTTAAAGTTATCTTGCCTAGATTATACAATTATAATGTAAACTTAAAAATGTGATTCCATAATGGTATTAGAATTGTACACAAGCATTTTCATTCTCACTTATATGGTAGTTATATGACTTGTGAAAGGTATGTTACACAGTTCACTTTCAGGGTCATACCTGTCTTTACAGTTGACAACATTCAAATGCAATTCAAATATAAAAAAGTAAATACTATGAGGCTCAAAAAAAGACAAAGTAATTTACTGGTTTTCCAATTTGTGCAAGCAATATTAAAACATGACATTGGATGTATAAAGATTTAGGCTGCTGTACGATGGACTATTGACAGTTGAAAATGGTGCAACACAAGCAATTCAAACGTTAAAATGAAAACGGCATTTAACCAGCTGTAAAATGGAAAAATCATAATATTATTCAAGTGTCATTTAAGAAACGTCCCACATGGGCTTCCGTAGTGGCGCCTTAATTCGCTTACTGGGCAGCTGGCTCCTTCAGAAGCCTTCATATAACACACGTGATCTCCCTGCTCACCTGCTCAGGTGTGGTGGTGTTCAGCAGCAGGACCAGGCTGCCCTGCTCGGAGTAAACCCGCATGAACTGCAGCAGGATGCGGTCTATCCCCATGCCCTCCGCCGCCACCAGCAGCCCGTCAACCTCAAACAGACTGAGGAACATCTCCGTCTCAAACTCCAGCAGCGGACCCGCCATGTTGGAGGGAATAAAACACCAACAACAACAACAACAACAACAACAACAACTACAAGGTTTCTGTTAATTCCGGTGAAAAATGTCAGCTAAAAGCAACAGAAGTCATTGTGAGACAGCTGCTAGTGTGCTGCTGGAATCTGTGGTCCTTTGTTTTGAAAATGCACTTCCGGTCATGTGACAGTAAACCAAGAGAACGTGACGGCTTCACATTGAGGATCGAGAGCGTCATCTAGTGACATGGAAGATGATAGCAGATGTGATCCATACGGTATGGATCACATCTGCTATCATCCAATATCATCCACTATGATCCACTTATATTGGCGGTTCTAGAACATTTTACATGGGGTGGCAAAGGGGGGGCAAGAGGTCATGCCAGGGTGGCATGGGAGGGCGGACAGTAGGCCTACGTGGTATTGTATACTGTATAACCTATTTATTGTTAAATCATGCCCTAACACAAGTGTTCTTAATGCACAAGAGAAACAAGGTGTTCAGACCAACAAACTCAAATATAGTATAAAACAGCAGAAAATACTCATGATACCCTATAATTCTGTTTACTGTACAGTAAAAGTACTTAGTTATAATGAAGTACACAAATGCTTGCAAATACTCTTTTCAATATCAAAAGAGCAAACTCTTTTTATTGGGTTCTTTTATTTAGGATTAAGTACATTGTCAGAATAAATGAGAAATGGATTTAACTTCTGTTATTCTTACAATGTACTTTATAACTTTATAAAAAGAGTTGTTAAATAATAGTGAAGTCACGTTGTAATAACAATAACTCATCTCTCTCGAGTTTTCTTTTTGTGCTTTGCAAAAAGCCACTGTGTCAAGTGTCCTACTTGGGTTGCAGTACGGAGTTGTCCAATATGGCGGACCATCTCGCACTGCAGATCGGGCAGAGCAGCAGATCGGGTAGTGACAGAGTCCACCCCCTCTCAAAATACCTTCCCGCGGCTCTGCATGCCTATTACTAGTCTAGGACCTGGGTTAGATATGTATGCACTTAATTTAGGAGAGAATATCTCAATTGTTCTAGACTAATATGACCCCACTGAACAACTTGGGATGTGTGCCAAAATCTCTATCCGGGACGAAAAGCCCCACAATTACCACGCCCTTTTTTTAATGACCACGCCCCTTTTCATCGGAAGTGCTACTTCCGATATAGCTGTATCTTCTAAACCAGGGGTGCCCACACTTTTTGGGCTGGTGAGCTACTTTTGAAATGACCAGCTCACCGAGGTCTACCAACCAAAAATAAAATCCCAAATTGCAAGGGTTGCTGAATAACACGTTTTATTTATACATGGGATAATAGGGCTGCAACAAACGACTAATTTGATAATCGATTAATCTATCGATTAATGAAACGACTAATCGACTATTCAGACTATTACTGTATGCCTTGCACAATTTCTCAAACCCTCTTGTTTAGCCATCAACTTTTAGATTTAGCTTGAGGTTGTTTTAGGCATGTGGAAACTAACAATGAAGACAATAAAGATGAATACTTGATTCAAAAATACATATATTATTAAATTAACAAATTGTGAACAAAACTAACATTGCTTTTTATTTAAATAAAATAAATAATATTTCACATCAAAATAAACAACAATGTTTTAACAAATCGTATTAAATAATCTGATGACAGAACTGTGAACAGAATAGCTGAAACTTTAACAAAATAAAGAGTAACTCAGTTTCCTCTAATCATTAACCCATGTTTGTATAATGTAGTTAACTGCGTGTGTTGCTGCTAGCATACATAACACCTGACGTGGAAACGTTACTCGTGGATGGGGCTACAGAGCTGCTAGAAAGACAGTCGAACCCGGTGCATTCCTCCGTCTGGATGTGGTGCACTTTTGCTAAATGTTTAGACACATTGCTCGTGTTACCGCCCTCACATGCTGAACTCTCTTGGCAAGGAGCATTGTCCACCTCAAGACGGGTAACATTTAACCACACCTTGGAGCGCTTCTCTCCGCCATCTCCTCCGTGTGTTGCTGCTTGTAGCAGCCGCGTGTGTGTAAACTGCCCCGCCCCCTCGCGCACAGACGGGGGAGAGAGATCTCGTCTCGATTGGAAAGATCGAAAATACACCGACATTTGTTTGTCTTTTTGCATGTTAGAAACGAGTTGGCGACACTAAGACTGCGAGATAATGTTTGTGTAGCAATAATACACCTTTCTCTTTCTCAACTCGCTACTCGGAGGGAAGTCGCTGCTATGCCTTGTGAACACTCCGATAATGCCTCTCCACGTTACCTTTCTTTGGCAGAGCGACGCTTGCTTTACAAATAAGGCAAATAACCTTTGAAAGTTACATCACAAACAAATATTCTTCCTCCCATTCTGGGTGGAAGTGGTTTGTCTTTAGCTTCTTGCTCGGTCCCGCACTCATTTTGTTGTTTGTCTCTTTAACTTAATTTGAGTTTTCCCTGCACTTGACTGATTTTGTATCGCTTTGCATTCTGGGTTAACAGACTGGAAAGCGATAGGTCGCTTTTTCTGTCAATCAAGTAAACTCCTGAATTAAGTGGCAGGGAGGCCAAGGGAGGCGGGATCAAAACCTGTTTTGTCTATTTTAACGGAACAGGATTTTTTTTTTTATGAATGACTCGCGATCTACTAGCATTGCCCCCGCGGTCGACCGGTCGCCCGCGGTCGACGTAATGGGCACCTCTGTTCTAAACCGTTTGAGCTACAGATTTTCTGAGGTGCTCAAAATGTTCAGAATGGCCATATCTAGGGGGGGGGGGGGGGTATTAGACATTTCTAATTTGATATTTTACGAAAACATTCGGTCCACTTATTACCATACAACTACCCAAGTACTGGAAATTGAGTTATCCTCTCATGAATTATGTGCATACATGCCTATCTTAACTTAGGTCTTCTACTAATTAATATAACCATTGAATTATATAAAACTAACTGCTTTTAGTTTATTCATAGCACCAGTTCTAAAAGCTGGAGAGAGTATGAGAGAAAGACTTATCCATCCAGTTTAACAGAGATAATATCTCACTGAAGTACAGCGAAATGGTAAGACAAGCTTTAATTTTGTTTATTTACCTACCTCTTCTTTCTGTGGGTATGCCAAGTAGTATATTGTATGGTGATACTGATAACCCATGCCATCGATAATTTTAAACATGTTTCTTTTATTTTCAGGATGTGGTACCGCTCGCTGCTCCTTCTGCTACACCTAAGCCGATCGATCTCGAGGAGTGCATCCTATGCCAGAAGAAGAACCGATCTGAGTACCTCTCTAGTGGTGAAATCGGCAGGGGTTATATTGTTTTGCTTGCCAAACAAACCGAGAGTAATGACACTCGAGCTGCTAGGGTTCTCTTCGACTGACCGTGCAAGAGCAGGGTATCATGAAATACCACACCTCATCTTGCTACAGAAGTTTTCAAAGGGATATGGCTAAGACTGACAGCATAACCCAACCACTAGAACAATCAGAACCATCTCAGCAGGGGCCTATTAATGATACATCTGAGCGACACAGCAAGCGATTTAAGTCCAGTGTAACTACAAATGTCTGTATCTTTTGTGGTTCGGATTGCAAGACATTTAAACAGAAGAAAATACACACATTGTTCAGAATCTGTGAAAGGCCCATGGCCCAAAAACTACTAAATGCGGCCATGTTGTTCAAGGACCATGTGTACACTGAAACAGCGGCAATGTGTAAGCTAGATGATGTTTTTGCGGCTGATATCCGATATCACGACCAATGTTGTAAAGTCTATTTCAATAAATATCATGCTAAAATTGAGGAAATACTGAAAAACCTCGAAATGGAGGAGTCGGTAACAGCCGGAGACAACTCCTTCAAGGCTAGATTTTTAGCCCTTGGGATTGACTTTAGTAGGTCAGCACACAGTCTGACTTCCATCAGAGACAGGCTAAATGAAGGTTCAGCTGGAATAGTGTCAAACAGAACTGTAAAGCAGCTGATCATCGAGATGTATGGAGACGCCGTCTGTTTTACATATCCAAGTAACAAACGAATATCCCAGATGGTACTTTGTACCAACAGTTCTATAGAGGCCTTGGTAGAGTCCCTGCGAGTTTCACCTGTCCAACAGATTGCAACTGAGCTGGCGCAGGAGCTGACAGGAGAGATCTTGGTCTCAAAGAGCTCTGGCTCGTCCGCAACTCAGGAGTGAGAAGATCAATATTACCACTCCACGATATCTGCTTAGCGCTGGGAGACGAGCTCACAAAGTGTCTCCCAGCCCTCCATGCGCTGACTGGGTGCGATACAACCAGCAAGATATCAACTAAACTTGCAGCTCTGAATGCTGTCCGCAAACCAGAAAATTCCTCTCTGATCCTGAATTTCGACAGTCCACAGCTAACAGAAAATGCAATACAGCTGGCAGAGACATTCTTGGTCAAGTGTCTCAAACCATCAACAGACCTGAAGACATTTGACGACCTGCGACTCGCTGCATTTGATAGCAATGCCCTCAAGATGGACTTCGAGAGAACCACTTGCACATCAACTAATGCAAGAAAACATATCCATAGAGGGTATCACCAACAGCAGCTGTGGGTCCAAGCCCCATTTAGAGACGCCACCTCGATTATGAATGCCGAGAATTATGGTTTTGTAAGATTGGGTAGTTCATTAGTCCCTGAGTTTGTGATCTCAAAACCCGAAGGCCTGCCAGATCCCTGCACATGTGGCAAGTGTGCTCGCAAGAATGGGTGTCCCTGCAGGGTAGCTGGGATCAAGTGTTGCAAGTACTGCAAATGCAAGGGAGGTGATTGTTGTAAAAACCCTATCACTGAATGAGCACTGCTCATCATCCTCATACGGGGACCTGGACTCTGTTGTCTTACTCTTCATGTTCCTCACCCTGGTTTACGTGACACATAAACAGTACTAATGTGGTGTTAAATAAGTATTGTTGGCTGTTGGGTAATTTATTTAAGCTCTCTACATGACACAAATGTTCTAACTTTGCTCTAAGTCCAGAAAGTTTAAATTAATAAATATAATGGCCATTCCAGTGTGTATAGGTAGTTGTATGTAAGTTGACCTATTAACGGTTTTTAGCCATTTCTAGTAAAATATGAACATTTTGAGGACCTCAAAAGCAGTCTTGTTAGTTTATAATTCAATGGTTATATTAATTAGTAGAAGACCTAAGTTAAGATAGGCATGTATGCACATAATTCATGAGAGGATAACTCAATTTCCAGTACTTGGGTAGTTGTATGGTAATAAGTGGACCGAATGTTCTCGTAAAATATCAAATTAGAAATGTCTAATACCCCCCTCCCCCTAGATATGGCCATTCTGAAAAATTTTGAGCACCTCAGAAAATCTGTAGCTCAAACGGTTTAGAAGATACAGCTATATCGGAAGTAGCACTTCCGATGAAAAGGGGCGTGGTCATTTAAAAAAGGGCGTGGTAATTTTGGGGCTTTTCGTCCCGGATAGAGATTTTGGCACACATCCCAAGTTGTTCAGTGGGGTCATATTAGTCTAGAACAATTGAGATATTCTCTCCTAAATTAAGTGCATACATATCTAACCCAGGTCCTAGACTATACAGCAGAATGCGGCGATTACCATCTTGTTCAGCAAAACGCCTCACAAACTTATTAAGATCAACAGCTTTAGTGCGTTTTGATTCAATGCTGAGTACAGCCAAACTTGACAGTCTCTTCTCTGTCATAGTAGACCGCAAATACCTCATTCCTATAATGCAAATTCAACACACAATTAGATGACAGGTTAAAATGCATCGCAAAGCATTGAGAAAGTGCAGCAGAGAGCAGGAGTTTGCTTCCTAAAAAGCTAAAAGGTTTTAAAGACTTCCACCGAGCTTAACTCAGAATTACATTTCCTTCAGTGTTCATTCATTCATTTTGGACCAGATCTGACCCCATGTTAAGGACATGGCACCGCGATCTGTTTTAATGACAGTATTACGTTTTTTTCTGGTGGATTATTCCTGTAATGCACCGACAGGAACAGCGCTTACATAACAAAGCCTGCCAGCTGGGCTTTGTTAAAACTCACTGTTGTGTCAGCCCACATTTCTCTGCCATGAGAGGGGGGGGGCCAGAATAGGCTGAGCTCAGGAACGACAGCACAGTCACACACACACACACACACACACACACACACACACATACCATGTATACATCACTTCAGGGGACATTACATTGACTTACATGCATTTCCTGCAGACTTATCCTAACCTTAACCATAACCAACACATGCCTAACCCTTACCCTAACCCTAACCAAGTCTTCACCCTAAAATGAATGATTCCCCTCATGGGGACCTCCAATTTGTCCCCATAAGGGAGGCGAGTCCCCACACGTGACTGTGTAAACAGATTTAGGTCCCCACAAGTATAATGCTAGGCCACACACACACACACACACACACACACACAGAGGTTTTGTTACACAGTTGTAGGACATGACCCACCATCATTTTGAGACTACAGGCTTGAGTATAGCCACGCTGGTGTTTACATGTGTCACTGATCCGCTGTGATGTCCAGATGTGGAGCCCGATAATATAAAACTACACCCTTGAGTGGGACTAATATACTGATTCATCTGAACAATACAGCAATATTTTCTCAGTGTGTCCTACTAAAGTTAATTATCCTTGAAGAGACAGTTTAATCGTTGTGCGTGTGTTAACTTGGAATCTGTCAGGAAAACTAATTTCTTTTAATATCCTGCTTTTGAATAAATGAGGGGTGAAGGGCTGTTGCATACATTGTGAAAAGGTGTATTAATTAAAACTCATATTGCAGTGACTCTTCCATAACTAATGAATTTCATTAATCCTGTCAACAAGTGAAGGAGAGGAGCCTAATATGGAAAGTCCTTTAAAGCAGAAAATAGTTATTATAAAATCTGTCACCTGAACCCCTGTCAAACACCTTAGAAAGAAGAAAACCGACTATAAGCCTTTGTGTTCAACACTAGTGAGGAACTACCACTTGTACAAGTACCTCAAATGTATACTTAAGTACAGTAGCATACTTGAGTAAATGTACTTATATTATTATCACAGTTCCAAGCAAACGAGTGCTTTTGTTTTTAAATCACATCCGTGAGTTTCGCCCCGCACCTCGCACCAATGACCATTAGACCATTTAGCAGGGTTGCCAACTTTGGGTACCTGGCTGGAGTGAGATTTTGATATCATGGGTTTAATTACACATATGCGCACTAAATGACTGCTATCGTGTCAGCAGCGGGACCTTAGCATATATAGGATATATACAATATATACAAATACACAATATTGGACACAAACTATAAAGGGCACAAAGTTTCATTCACTAATGAAAGTCAAACACATGATTGTTTCCACTGTTTTATTGTGTGCATAGGTCTGTCGCGATAAGCAATTCATTGACTTATCGTACGATAAATAAAAATGAACTCGATAACTTTTCTGACCTCGATAAATTGCCATTTACATGAGGATGTGACTAGCAGTTTGAAAGGATGTACTTGAATTATTATTATATATTATCATTATGTCAGTGGTCTAAAATGGTCATACAACGGTGCCGACAATATTATTGTTTATCGCAATCATTTCCGGGAAAATGTATCCAACAAAATTAATTATCGTGTGAGGCCTATACATGAAACACACAGACACAAACAAATCTACAGACTTACTCCAAACTGCCAAATATATTAATTAACGCACTCTCACTCTCATATACTCTTTGACCCTATTTTGGCTAGAGTCTGAGTACCAAGGACCTCATATTATGTCAATCATTAATGTTACATCACCCATTATAACAGTTTTCTTTCCTTTTTTCTCTTCTCTTAACTGTAAAGTCCTTTTCCTGCACCATTTTAAGGCTTCAAAACAGGCATTTTTACTACATGTGTTTGGAGAAATGACACAATCAATGGCCCAGAATTGTACTTTATAAACTATGAATCTTGTGATGCTTGAAGAAATACAGACTGGTTAAGCCGGCCAGGTTATATGCCTTTTTTGGAGCCCTTTTTTGCAATATTTATTCAAATGTCACTAGTTATTTAACCAAACCACTATCTGAGGATACAAGCAACCATAAAACGCCCTTTATCTAAAAGACAGCAGCATCATAAGAGGGCTGGTCACCCGAGAGACTGCTGAGTTGACCGCAGTGCAGAATCGCGCAATGTTGTCCATTTTAGACATAGGTCTATTATATTCACAGTCCTTTATAACATTCATTTTCTGGGCTCAATATGTGTCGTCCATTTTCGTTGTGAAACCAAATGGACCGTCCTCATCTGCGCTCTTATGTTGTAAGGTAACTTCCGGTAGCAGAATATGATTTTTTGTTGTTGTTATTTTGTTTCTGTTTTCTAGTGATTTTATATTTTGTTTTGAGAAGTAGACAATTAAAATCATCCCGTTTTTTAACTTTAGTAAATCCCTTTTTGACCATGATAAAGAAAACGCCAAATATCCAGTCGTTTTTTGTTTTTGAATATCCATTTGTGAAAAGAAAATCCAATGACCAAAACATACACTGACCAAGGAGCTTTAATGGCATCACCATATCAAACAACTTCTTCAGAATCAAGATGAAATAAGAGTTTGAAGAAGAATGAATTTATAAATAAATAAACAACAATAAAATAAAAATAAATACCAGTGTTCCTGAACGCAGCACACAGAACGAGATTTGATCACGTGAACACACAGTTTCCACGAGATTTGAATGAGGAGGAGCACAGGGTATACTTCCCACACACAGCCGGAGCAGGAGCACTGAAGGCGGAGTGGAGGAGGACAGCAAGACCCCAGAGAACCAGCAGCAGCAGCCTCGGACTCTCAGGTGAGTGTTCAACCGATGTGTTCAACGCCATCCGGGGACAAAGACCTTTAAAACTATACTAAAAACACGAGGAGAGGAAACAGGAAATACGACAAGCGTTTTATTTTGAAAGTCAAAGAAACGTTCCTCTGTTTCCTTCGGGTCTACTGGTCTGAATTGTGAGCATTATTTATTTAAAGTTAAATGTGAAACCTTCTTTTAAAAATAATGACAGTAATTGTGAGCACGTGCATGTGTAGTATATTTGAAATGAAGGCACGTGTGCACACCGAAAAAGACACAGCTACATTCAACCAAAACAAGGTAAACATTTAACAATGCATCAAATACTGAGGTGGGAGAAGTACTCAGATCTTGTACTTGAGTAAAAGTAGAAGTACTCAGATCTCGTACTTGAGTAAAAGTAGAAGTACCAGAGTGTAGGAATACTCTGTTACAAAGGGAATTCCTCTGTGGAGCTGAAAGTCCTGCTCCACTTTATACAGTGCTTCTCAAAGTGTGGTCTGCGGACCACTGGTGGTCCATGAGCGCCACCTAGTGGTTTGTGAGTATATTGGTAAAAATTTACATTTGAAATAAATAAATACATTTAAGTTTTCCGCACTCTCGCGGGAATATCTCCGCAATGGAGCAAGCAGAAGTTTCGATTGCATGATATAGCCCAGCGCAACACCGTCATCACACATGTTGCCACCTGTTTGTACCATTTTCAGGCGATTTGTAATCTGTTCTAGAAAAACGATGTGTTTTTGGATATTTGTGGAGTTAGGTGGTCCGCGAGTGTTTTTTTATTGGGTAAGTGGTCCTTGGTATGAAAACGTTTGAGAAACACTGCTTTAGAAGCTTCATTAAGACTGTACAACTGAATGATACTCTATGAGCTACTTTAGGGTTAAAATGTCCCGTACTGCAGAGATGAAATGAGGTTAACCCAGTTTACGGAGGGCTGATGAGGAGTGGCTGGTGTTTGTGGTGAACAGAGAGACTAACCAGGAAACACTTTCTTATTCTTCCTCACTGCAGAGAGACAGACGGACTGAGAATAAGACGATCAGACGGACTGTACTTCCTGTCTGCTGTGTTTCAGCTTCCCTCAGAGACAACATGGCTTCCAGGTTAGAGGAAGATATCTGCTGTCCGGTCTGTCAGGACGTCTTTAGAGATCCTGTTTTTCTGTCCTGTAGCCACAGCTTCTGTAAAGCCTGTCTGCAGACCTGGTGGACGGGGAAAGAAGTGAAGGAGTGTCCAGTTTGTAAGACAAGATCATTGATGGATCATCCCCCCTGCAACCTGGCATTAAAGAACCTGTGTGAGACCTTCTTACTGGAGAGAGATCAGAGACCTCCAGAGGCTCTCTGCAGTCTGCACTCTGAGAAACTCAGACTCTTCTGTCTGGACCATCAGCAGCCAGTGTGTCTCGTCTGCAGAGATTCAAGAACACACACCAACCACAGCTTCAGACCCATGGATGAAGCTGCTCAGGATCTCAGAGAGGAGCTCCAGAAAGCTCTGCAGCGCTTTCAGGATACACTGGAGTTCTTTGAAGAAGTTAAAATGGAGTTTGATCGAACAGCAGGACACATGAAGGTCCAGGCTCAACACACAGAGACGCAGATTAAGGAGCAGTTTAAGAAGCTTCACCATTTTCTAGAAGAGGAAGAGGAGGCCAGGATGGCTGCACTGAGGGAGGAAGAGGAGCAGAAGAGGAGGATGATGGAGGAGAAGATGGAGGCTGTGAACAGAGAGATAGCAGCTCTTTCTCACACAGTCAGAGCCACAGAGGAGGAGCTGAGAGCTGAAGACGTCTCCTTCCTGCACAACTTCAAGGCTGCAGTGGAGAGGCTTCAGCGCCCCCTGCTGGAGGATCCACAGCAGCCCTCAGGAGCTCTGATAGACCAGGCCAAACACCTGGGCAACCTCAGCTTCAACATCTGGAACAAGATGAAGGACATGGTGACCTACTTTCCTCTCATCCTGGACCCAAACACTGCTGATCCAAGACTCATCCTGTCTGAAGATCTGACCAGTGTGAGAGGGGAGGATGAGGAGTTAGAGGAGGAACCGAAACTTCCTGAAAATCCAGAGAGGTTTGATTATGAATGGTCTGTCCTGAGCTCTGAGGGCTTTAACTCAGGGACTCACAGCTGGGATGTCCAGGTTACAGACAGTACATTCTGGTATCTGGGTGTGTTAGCAGAGTCTGTCCAGAGGAAGGGAAGCATAGACTCTGGATTATGGGGAATAAGTTTCTTTGAAGGTAAATACTCTGCAGAGTCTTCATCAGATCCAGACACTCCTCTCAGCCTGAAGACGAAGCTCCAGAGGGTCAGAGTGAATCTGGACTGGAACAGAGGAAAGTTGTCGTTCGATGATCCTGACACTAACACACACATACACACCTTCACACACACTTTCACTGAGAGGATGTTTCCGTACTTTAACACTGAGGAGGAAGTGAAGATATTACCACTGAAGGTGTGTGTGACAGTGGATCAGAGCATATAGAGAGGATCATTAACTCCATATCTCTTAAAGGGGAAATAAATTGCATGTAACCTCTGCAGCTGCACCTCCTGCTGTCTCATTATAACAAACGTGTTTATTTTTGGTGCACTGGTTATTTTAATATCATGTTTTTTCCGATAGTGCAAATAAAAATTTCTGAAGCTTTTTTGTGAGTTTAACTTTTATTGGTTCTTCCTACAAATGATATGCTTTGCAAAGGTGATCCAGACAGAATCAGAACTTTCCATCAAGCCACTTTTAGTGACATCTCTAACTCAATATCTTTTCATTGACTTGTTGTGATGACTTGTTTGGCTTCTGTTGATGTTGTGAGACTCGTGTTTAACTAGTCAGAGAGTTGTCCTGAGTCTTTAATCATGTTTTTCAAGAGGCGCACAGCATACGGAGAGCAATGTCTCCACAGCAGAGTACAACTACTCAGACTGAAGAGAGGGCTTTCATGCCGTTACGAGATAACTGACCCCTGACCCTATCAAAGTCACCCCCTGTGTGGTCACATGACTGACCATTTACCTGAGTGATGAGACACACAATATTATTATTTATGTTCTATATAACGTCATAGCATTCAATTCTCTGATAATCATAATTCCCATTACAATATAAAATAGGCCTTGACAAAAGTCCAACAAATCCAAACAAAAGATGCAAAACTCAAATAAAATAATACACAACTTATTTATTTCTTTAACGTTGCATTATGTTAGGAATTCTTAAACCCCGAGACCAGGATAAACTGAAAAGAGTCCAAGGAGGAAGCTTATAATAATAATAATAATAAATGATATTTATATAGCGCCTTTCAAGGGACCCAAGGTCGCTGTACATGGTGGACAAACAAAACAAACAGACAGTCAACGGGCAAACCAAAGAAATAAATAAAGGAAGCCGGGGGACCAGAAAAGGGCTAGGGCCCGAAGGCCAGGGTGAACAGGTGTGTTTTTAGTGATAATTTGAAGATGTCCAGGGAGGCAGCATTACGGATCTCGGCAGGAAGTGCATTCCAGAGGGTGGGGGCCGCAACACTGAATGCCCTGTCACCAACAGTACGGAGGCGAGAGCGGGGGATGGAGAGCAGGCCCGTGTCTGAGGACCGCAGACGACCGCAGACTCCGAGAAGGGGTGTAGGGATGGAGGAGGTCCGATAAGTACTGGGGGGGCGAGGGTATGGAGGGACTTGTACGTGAGGATGAGTGTTTTGTATTGAATCCGGGACTTGACCGGCAGCCAATGTAGGTGGATGAGGGTGGGGGTGATATGGTGCCATGGCTTGGTGTGGGTGAGAAGCCTGGCGGCAGAGTTCTGGACATATTGGAGCCTATCCAGGGTTTTGCTGGGAACCCCGGACAGGACTCCATTGCAATAGTCCAGACGGGATGTAATGAAGGCGTGTACCAGGGTTTCTGCCACAGAGTCAGAGAGAGAAGGCCGGATTCTGGCAATGTTTTTTAGGTGGTAGAAGGCGGATTTGGTGACAGCTTTGACATGCGCCTGGAAAGAGAGGGTGGTGTCCAGGATGACTCCCAGGTTGCGGACTATAGAAGTTAACAGCATTTAATTAAACAAAAAATGATGCGATGATATTTATACAAATGAGATTTTGCGAGTGGAGGCTATCTCCCCATCAGCTGTTGCCTGGCGAGTGCATGGATGTATAATAGAGTGGCGAAGTCCCGCCCATCTACTTCCGCACCATGGGACCTTATTTCTGAAAAATGATGTATTGAAGTCAATGGAGAGAGAAAGATTATCTCTCGATCACGTTTGAATTGTGCCACGAATTAAACGTATGATGTTTGTCAATTAAAAAAAATAATTTTCATGTCAAAAAAGTCACAGTTTGTCGAAAAACTGTTGAAATATAAGACTATGAAAAATACGCAACTAGAAAGACTACAAATCCCAGAATCCCGGTCCCGCATGCTGGCTCTCACGGAACCGACTAACTCCCCTTGTGTGTATGTACAGCTCTCAACGTGCCCAGACTTGTAGTGATTTTCACCTCTTTTAATACTTTCCGCCTCATTCTGAAAGAAAGAAGTGAAATGTTCCAACGTGACGGCCGTCTTGGTGTGTGGTGCGAGACGGGAGTTGTAGTTCATTCAGCGTTTCACACAAAAAAAAGTGTTACTTCACAGTTTTACGACACATTATTTTTTTGACTTGCAAAATTATGTTTTAAATTGACAAACATCATATGTGTAATTCGTGGCACAATTCAAACGGGATCGAAAGATAATCTTTCTCTCTCCATTGACTTCAATACATATGTTTTCGGAAATCAGGTCCCATGGAGCTCCCCCGGAAAGGGAGGGACTTCGCCTCTCTATAAGAACTGGATACAGCGTGGGAGGCGGGGCCTCATTCATTCCTATGAGATTGGTGCATGAAGATAAAATGGCCCAACTTTTGAAAGAGCGAAACGTCACATATTACCCGTCATACCTGAGAAGTACCCGTATGTGCGCTCGTAGAGCATGCGCAACTTTAACCACGCCCCCCAAAAGACTCGTTCACATCAAGCACGTCAATTTGTACACGTAACAGCACCACACGTTCATGACAGCATGGTACTGGATTGTTATGATGGATTTTGATATTATATATATATTATATAATTATTATTATAACTTTCTTTTTTTATTCATCCGTGACCACGACGCCATCTGCGATCGATTAACTTGTGGACAATGATCCCTCGCTCTACGCCTCCTGTACCCAGTCCCGGACTGGCCATTGGGAGGACCGGGGGGTTTCCCGATGGCCTGGCCTTTGAAATGGATTCATTAGTTAATTAACAACATTCTGTTTCTTTGTCTTCAAAGGCTCATTTAATCTTTCTAACAGCAAAAAACCTTGCAGAAATAAGTGCATTTAGACCATTTAGATTTATATATACAGTCTATGATTTAGACAGAGAAATACATCCTGCAGGATTAAAGTGATGCACCGTCATGAACGAGCCTATAGAGCGCAGTGGAGCGCTGCGTTCTGCAAACACTCAGCGTACCTCTGAAGTAATCCATGTGTGTGAGACTGTCCATTCAGCTTCTCCTGCAGCTTCGTGTCAGGATGAAACATGAAGCTGGCGGTTTGGATGGAGTTGTAACAAGACACCATTACGACTGACCAAACGGAGAGCGGCCACATCATTGATTCTGCCATTATTTGAGTTTTATGGAACATGAAATTGAATGAAATGATGCATGAATGTGCTCGGAGGATCCAGGACGTCATGTGAAGGATTGCGTTTTCTACGAGATGAACAAAAGGTTTGGCAGCTGAAGTGCATCCGGACATCACGGATGGTGTGGCGTTATTGTAAATGATTGGAGAACAGCTTGAACATGATGGCAGGCTGCAGGATAAAATAAGATATATTAACACTGACTGCAGTGTAGGAGAAATAAAGAGGAATGGAGAGAGAAGAGAAAACAGCTGAAGGCCCGACTCATCCCTGCAGCCTCATTAAGAGGAGAGTGGAGCAGTGTGTTGTAAATGGAGGGCCAAACTCAACTCCTCCAGAGGTTAACAACACACACACACACACACACACACCACACACACACACACACACACACACACACACACACACACACACACACACACACACACACACTCTTTAAAAGAATAGCTTGAAATTCGGAAAATATGCTCATTTACTTTGTATCTTGAGTTGGAAATAAGGCCAATGCCTGAAACGCCTCCATTGGACTCCTTTGTTTACTTCCTGAACATAATGACATCACTATGTAACACTCACGCTCTTACTGGCTTGCGCACAAAAACATTAACCGTGATAGGATAAGGGGAGGGACATCTCTAAGCTGTTGACCAGTCACAACAGAGCCGGCCAGCTAACCAATCAGAGCAGACTGGGCTCTGGTTTCAGACAGAGGGTGAAAAGAGGTGCTGCAGCACAGGCAGTATGAGAACAATAAAGAGCTTTTTGAACATTAAAGCATGGAGACATGTAGAGACACTACATACTGATATACACCTGAACATCAGCAGGAGAGGACTCTTTAAAGTAGAGACACTACATACTGATATACACCTGAACATCAGCAGGAGAGGACTCTTTAAAGTAGAAACACTACATACTGATATACACCTGAACATCAGCAGGAGAGGACTCTTTAAAGTAGAGACACTACATACTGATATACACCTGAACATCAGCAGGAGAGGACTCTTTAAGTAGAGACACTACATACTGATATACACCTGAACATCAGCAAGAGAGGACTCTTTAAAGTAGAGACACTACATACTGATATACACCTGAACATCAGCAGGAGAGGACTCTTTAAAGTAGAGACCACTACATACTGATATACACCTGAACATCAGCAGGAGAGGACTCTTTAAAGTAGAGTCACTACATACTGATATACACCTGAACATCAGCAGGAGAGGACTCTTTAAAGTAGAGACACTACATACTGATATACACCTGAACATCAGCAGGAGAGGACTCTTTAAAGTAGAGACACTACATACTGATATACACCTGAACATCAGCAGGAGAGGACTCTTTAAAGTAGAGACACTACATACTGATATACACCTGAACATCAGCAGGAGAGGACTCTTTAAAGTAGAGACACTACATACTGATATACAGCTGAACATCAGCAGGAGAGGACTCTTTAAAGTAGAGACACTACATACTGATATACACCTGAACATCAGCAGGAGAGGACTCTTTAAAGTAGAGACACTACATACTGATATACACCTGAACATCAGCAGGAGAGGACTCTTTAAAGTAGAGACACTACATACTGATATACACCTGAACATCAGCAGGAGAGGACTCTTTAAAGTAGAGACACTACATACTGATATACACCTGAACATCAGCAGGAGAGGACTCTTTAAAGTAGAGACACTACATACTGATATACACCTGAACATCAGCAGGAGAGGACTCTTTAAAGTAGAGACACTACATACTGATATACAGCTGAACATCAGCAGGAGAGGACTCTTTAAAGTAGAGACACTACATACTGATATACACCTGAACATCAGCAGGAGAGGACTCTTTAAAGTAGAGACACTACATACTGATATACACCTGAACATCAGCAGGAGAGGACTCTTTAAAGTAGAGACACTACATACTGATATACACCTGAA